CTCCCATTTTGCACTCGTGTGCGTGTCAGCTTGGATTCGTCTATCCGTCGACTGATGGAAGAGCCGTCTTTTATATTTCTTCATCTCGCGAGCTTTCCTCGCTTAGGTCGAGGATGCACGCGAAATTCCATTTCGCGATCATAGAAAGACAAAATGTTTTTTTTACACACATGTTTTGAACAAGATAAAGTAAATCTATGTAAGATACTTCTTTGCAAAAAAAAAAGGAATATTGTCTTAACACTATCATAAGTAAGCCACTAACATTATATATAGAAATATGTAACAGTTTTTGGTGATTTAATTGGCATTGTTAATCGATTATTGTTTCAAGTGGCAATATAGTAATTAATTATTAGGATGCCATGAAGAATTTTGGCAATATAGTAATTAATTATTAGGATGTCATGAAGAATTTTATTTATAACATATATGCATCTTAAGATCACAGTAATTTTGTGATGATTCTCCAACTTCATTCGGCAGATGCAAACTGTGCTTATAGTATTTAAATTCATTGTCTTGGAGAGAAATCCACGTAATCAGGTGTCGCACGCTTTTCTTTTTCCGTTCGAAAATGCTCTTTCTGTTTCAAAATGTGATCATTCGAGCAGATCGTTTAAGAGATTTTTGCATACATCTCTATCGGTTGGATGTTTTCTGGTTGACAGTTGGCGGCAGATGGACAATCGATGACAATCATCTCGCTAACTGTTACAGGGATCGAAACAGGATTAGAGAATTATTAACTACAATATCGTGTGATATTAAAAATGTAGTGAAATAGGCTATTTTGTAGTTAGGAAATTATAAATTATAACATAAAGCAGTGATAAATTAATACAAGTAAATATGATGAAATTAGTATTCTGTTAAATACAAATAGCAAATACTATATAAATGCAGGTAAATATTATAACATTTATTACATAAATTGATCTTTGAGTTAAACCATCTTATCTATTCCAATCATTGAGATAGTTAAAATTATTAACTCTCGGGAAGCTCAAGCAATTCACCGACGTGACGGGCGATAATAATTTCCTCGTTCTCTCCAAGAAACGTGTGTTCTCGATGCATGTTCCTCGACGCTATTTTTAGATCCAGAAATTCATCATATGCACGTGCATACTACAATGCGATGCTCAATTCTATGAACGACACAAAGATTACAGTTTTGACAATTTTTGGTCACAACTTTGCTTGTAAAATTGACAATTTTATCGATGCACTTATTAGCGCGCTCTACGAAGTCTCTTATATTATGTTGCAGTATGACATTTATAGAAAATATTAACAAACACTGATGTGTCTAAGATGTTCGATTTATATACATTATATGTTGCACATCCCGTTCTTTCGCATGTTATATGCATACATTCGCTGGTGATGTAATCGCGTAATGACAGCTAGAATTTGCCATATGCGCGAACAAATATTAATTTCTTTTAGTACTTTGTTGAAATATATATACTGAGAAAAAAAGTTCGATTAAAAAACGCAAAATTTGTTTTATTTTACCAAAATATTTAGTCCGATACATTCAACTAAACGTTACTACGATTATACAAAATAATTCGTTACTATTATAAATAAAATACTATTTTTTAACAAAACTATTTTCTTTCAACAAAAATTTATCCTATTTAACTCAATCGTTCTATTAAAAATACTCACTATTTATTATCCCCATCGGCGTCGTTTAGTCAGTTTGATGCTTGGAATTTGAACAAACATATTACTTGGATAACTAAATAGCATGCAAACACAAATAAATACCATTAATATTTCGAACAAAATAATTTAATTGAGTTGGTTTAGTTAATTCTTGATTAAAAAATTTTGATGGCTGACATGAATGAACTATACTTTTCTTTGTGCAACTAAAGAATTGTTGTATTAACTATTGGATCAAACTATACTAATTTTAGTTCGTACAATCAATTTTTTTTCTCAGTGTAGGTAGCGATTAAGTTGGCGTTATTTCGACACGGACATCATTTAGAGAACTGTCATCATTTACACACTATAATACACGCGTAGTAGCCAAAGGGTTAATGTTAGACATGACGTGAATTTTGAATATACCAAGATATCGAAGATATCGAAGCGCTACAAATACTTACAAATGCAAAAAAAAATAGGCGCGTTTTGAAATTCATTTCAAGGGTGTTCGAAGTTATGATGTGCCGCATTGGGATGACGATTTGACTACGTGTTTACAGCTTTTTTTTAACGATCCAATTAAACGTTAGTGCCGCTAAATAATTATTGACTGAATTTCTAGCATACCATAATGCCATATCGTAACACATAAAATACATGAGAGAATTATCTGATGGAATCAATGCACGTTTAATGAAACTTTGTTTTCAATATTATTTTTCGTGATTTCGATCATCTTCCTCATAAATCTATCAATAAGTGTTTTGACTGGCTATCGATATATCTCGTCTATCGACGATGTATTACTTTGTGTTTTCGCTTTCGTTGTAACAAAATGAAATTATTTAACCAAATACTTTTTAGAAAAAATTGACTTAAGTTTTATGAACAATGATACAAGTAAAATATGTATTATTACACCTACTTTTTGACTGTTTTAATACTGTTTATATCTATTTAAAGAATCGATATATCGCCGCACATTTATCTAGACAAATATTAAGGGGATTAGTAATTTTTCTTCTTATTTCTTATCGTTTCTTCACAATTTAAATATCGAAGAGGAGAAATGTGCGCTCTTCATTTCAGTCGGTTCGTTTCTTCATTTTCCGGCTTCTTTTCTCCTTATTCCGAAGACGACGCAAGTGGGTCACGGAAAAACGAGGAAAGAGGGAATGTACACTAAAGACGAAGACTCTGTTCCTCCTCATTTGTTTGACGATTAGCTCAGTGTCGTTTGTCAGATTAAACGGATATAGTGCTTCGCATTGTTTGCCTTGTTGAACTGTGTGTCTCGAGAACTCCTTCATTTTTCCTTATCTGTCTGCACACCTAAAATATTGTTAATGCAGTCAAAAACGTCCGACATATTCTTTTTCGAATACTTATCTGAATACACACTCTTGATCCAAACTCTTGACAGAAAATACAAAAAATGCTATTAAATAATATTGAATTCAAATTCAAATTTAACATTGACTTTTTCTTAGCGAGGTTTGTAACTTTAAAAAAGGTTCTTGTAAACTCTAATAAAAATGAGATATCTTTTTGATGTCGATCTTATTAATAAAGATTAAATTTCCGTTGAAGTTACTTCGAAATTGGGCAAGTATATAATTATTTTTATTTCAGAAGTTTGATTCGTAAAAGAAACATTTCATTTTCATTGAGAAATATCAATATCTCGACATTTCCACGAAATGAAACGTATAGTAGAAGTTGGAGTTTTCCGTCATTAAAGGTTAATTCAAATGAAGACAAAAACTTGATGCATAAACCGGTATGGTACTGTATAAAGCAAATGATCAACGTGAGCTCGTATCGTCTAGTCAGGCTCTCATGTCTTATTAATCTGGACGCTTATGCTTTTATGTAACTTTGCGCGCGCGATCGACTTAACGAGATCGGACTCGATGGCGAGTCGAATCGATGCCGTTATCGAAGTAACGGCACGAAACGAGGCGGTAACCGTATAAAGATTGGCCGAACGTTTTTTATATGTATGATAAAATTTAACGCGTCGTGGCTTAAATCGCGGGATCGTTTATGATGCCAAGAGACTATATACGTTATTGTATTTCAAAATATGAACAAATTATTCGCCAAATTGTGCCAAGTGCGAATCTCTATTGCCAGCACATTAGGTATATACGATTTGAATTTCGGATGAAATTCTACTTATTTAATTAGCGACCGTGATTGACGAGCGTTGATCGTATAACAACCAGATAAATAATTGTTTTAAATTGTTTCGAGAGGTGAAACGTATATATACACTTCACGTAATGACGCGACGAATGCTTTTCGAGCGTACAATCGCATGGCTGTATGTGGAAAAATCATTGAGATGACTTTTCATGCGCTTGTAGAATCCAATTAGATTATCCATCGCTGGATTAATTATTCTGCAGTATGTTTGCATTCGGACAAAAAAAAATAATAGATTCGCAAGCAGGGCTTCCGTAGCATTATCGCACCGAGTGGAATATATACGCGAACTAATTTTTACTACTGTAGCCTTCAACAGCAAGTAGCAATAGCAGTAATAGCAATAGCAATAACAGCGGTGGCGGTGGTGGCGGCGGCGCGGCGGTGATGCCGGTGCCGGCGTGAAGTGAACGGCGGCGGATGTGCACGAGAGTAGGTAAATGCGCGAGATCGCGATTGGCCGCGGCATCGCCGTTCAACCAATCCGCACGAGCGGCCGCCGGAGTTTTAGCGCGCGCGGAGCCGGCACCCGCGGTCGAGGCCGACTTCCCCAGTGTCGAGGTAATCGCGCGAATCTCGGTGAGAAAAACTCTGCGGGCCGATAAGATTTCGTATGCGCCACGTACGGAACGCGGTGCGCGCATAAGTCGAGAGAATACGAATCGCAGCTACCGGAATGGAAGAGATGCGACACCACACCAGCTGGTTTGTAACCGAGAGCGGACGCGCGGGTATTCGCCGGAGTAAGCGCGCGGTAAACGAGACAAGGAGGTGAGGTTTACGACAACGAGTAAGCGGGAGCAGGAAGAGAGAGAGAGAGAGAGAGAGAGAGAGGAGAGGGCGAGCGAGCGCACGATGGTGGCCGCTCGCATTGCTCGCAGATCAGCGAGGACGGAAGAGGGGAACGGCGGGAGAAAGGAGGGAGAGTACCCGGCTGCCTTCAGTTTGGCGTTCGGTGTTGCTAGGCGCGAGGGGCCACTGTCAGTGCCAAGGCGGCAGCCGGCAAATCTTCTCTCGACCACGAGAATCAAATATCGAGCTTACATCTTTCTCTCTTAACCGCGTCTCGAATGCGACGTTTTTGCGGGCTCCTTTCCCTCTTTCCTCCCGTCACCGACGCCGACGTCTCTCCGGTCCCGCGATGCATTTTTCGAGAACGTTCCCCGCGCGCGCGTGCGAGCGGAGCAGAGCGGCGCGGCGCGGCGCCTGCTTGTCGAATCCGCCGACACTGGCCTGGCTGGCCTCCGGTTCGGTTTTATGTCCCGCGTGCGTGTGTGCGTGCGAAAAAAAGAACCGAGTGTGGAGAGACACGCGAATCACGGGATGTCAGCCTGCGGCGGATATTACGACGCGCGTCTCTCTCTCTCTCTCTCTCGTCAACGACCGACGTTTTTGTATAATCTTCGATTAACACCGCGAAACACCGTGAGTACCTCGTTTAGCTTGCCTTACAATTTGACGTACTTTTGCACCTACCGATGTCGATCGTTACCGTTTTCACATCGATAAATATATTCCGCATAATTATTGCAATGCTTTATATTTGACTGTTCAACGATTGATGTCGCAGCATTATTTTTTTGTATATTATACGTGTGTACGGTAAATTGTAGCTCATCCCTATATGTTAATCGAATAAAAGGAAATATCTTACATTAATTTCACAAATATTTGCATTTGCCATGGAGACATTAAGAATTATAAAAATAATATAAAAAAAACAAACGAGAATTCTTATTAACAATGATAAAATATGAAATATGTCAAGTTATGATGGATTTGGTAATGCATTGCGTGTTGCAGTCGATATTCAATATGTATATGTATATAAAAATTTTTATAAGTCATTCGAATACTGTAAATCTTAAACAAACACACACACACACATATATATTTATATATATGCGTGTGTGTGTGTGTGTGTTTAAGATTTACAATATTCGAATGACTCCTTATAAAAATTTTTTTTGCAGTACCTAGTAGTAAATTTTATGCAAGATTAATAAATAAGAGTCGAAGAAGAAGAAATTAAAAATAAATTTAAATATAAATGTGAATATTTTAGAAGATTTAATTTTCGTAGCAATTTTGGATATCTTGATGATTCCGGAAGCTTGAACGTTACCGTTCTTTTAAGCCAAACGAGTCAAATGCACCGAATGTGGGTGAGCTACGCAGTTGTGTGAGTAGAACATCGATGATACGCAGATTGGATATGGTCTTAAAAAGTTGCTCGCGCAAATCGAATTGTGTATTAACAAAAATACATCTATTGCAACGTCTTGATAACGTCAGCCGTCCTTATTTTGACTTTTAACAAGTTAGATGAGAAAATTCATTGCTTGTTTGATGATTTGAAAATTGAAAAAAAATATATATAATATTTTTTATTTTTGAGTCTTGGAACATTAATATTTTGATTACAAATTATCGTGTTATTATTACTGTATTTTTTAACTGACTTATTTTATGTAATAAATAATCCAAATATACATATGCGCGATTATAATTTTCTTTAAAGAAAGCGGAGTACAATCCATCGATTATTTTCTACAAAGTTTGAGAATTCTGAAACCGATGCGGGCGCTAAACGACAAAACGGTTAAATCGCCGTTTTCGTCCGCTTTTGCGGCGAGCGTAGCTGAATGATGTTTTCTTCCTTATTTGCGTTTCTGAGTCACACGCGTGTCTGGCGGCTATCTATTCACGCGATCCGCCGACGCCGCGCACTTGTGTGTGACTGTTATTTATTCGAACATAACACCGAACGAAAAATGCCGGCGTTCTACCTTTGCTACGTAGATAATTTCGACGAATAGCAAATATCGTTGATAAAGAATTATTGGAAACTCGCGTATACCTGCTACAAAAATAAAAGCAAAAATTTTATGTTTATCAGCCTTCTTGCAATCTTCTTTGCATTGTGCGTATTATATAAAGTATTGCGAAAATACGTATCGTGAATTCTGAAAATTTGTAATCAATATTTTCAACACTAATTAGACTGGACTCTCTAATTAAAATAGACTTAATTTGTGCAAATACAATTTATTAGTAACTAAATAAATGCTCGGATTTTAGTAGCAAAATTTAAAAAAAAAGCGCGTGTTATGTGACGAACAATTATAGCGTATTAATTTTATAAAATTAATCAGATTGTAATAAATCAAATTAATGGGACTAAGACTCATTTGTACAAGAAAAACTAGCGCCTTTAAGGTAAATGCTCTGACTAAACATCGATCAAACAAAATTATCACTTCTTTAATTTTAGTCTTCACAATTCTCTAGAGAAAAATGAAAAATTTGCAAGAAATTGTAAATATGTGAAATACATGAATTAAATTTCGCGTCGAGCATAAGTTCCACGATTCGCAAACGTATTGATTAAATTGTATGGTGTGATTTCTGCGGGTGCCAATCAGGTGGTCGGGATCGTTCATCTCGCGAAGGGTATGTATGTCGATAACAGAATATCGTTGAATGTACCGCTTACCAATTCCACTACGTCTGTCTTTCAGATAGGTTTTAGATAGGTTCGCTCGAGCCAGGGAACACTGAAGGGTCATTGATTAGATCGCAATTATCGCGCGTCTCTTCTCTATAGACTTGACGAGGATCATATAGAAAATCTTTTTTGAACCGTTCAACTTTCCGTTAACTATACTTTCAATTGTAACAGTAAACGCAGTAACAGTAATAACTAACAAATATATATATATATATATATATATATATATATATAGGAATAATAATTTTTGTATAAGTAAGAAAGATATGGCTTTGTACATATCTCGGAGGGGGGAGGGAGGAGAGAGAGAGAGAGAATATTGTGTTTGTTTTTCGGATGACGTCAAGCTTTTAGATTTTATATTGATATTGATAAATAAACGAGCTTTTAATATGTTTAACCAAACATACATGAAATTACACATTCAGAGTGTAGCTAGTCGACTAGTTCGACTTTATCGATTGCTATCAAAAATATAGGTATACTTACATAGAAGCTCATTTAAAGTGACAAAAATATGGCGTGGAGAATTGCTTTTGCATCATATTTTTTTCTATCATTCCCATATTCTGTAACATTTAATTATTTGTTCTGAAATCATCGATTCTTCCCTTAAAAAACTTTTCTATACAAGTCACGTAATTCTTATTTTACCTTTTTTTTTTAGAGTGATAAAAATGTAGTAAAATTCTCACTTTTGTTATCTCGAGCGTAATAAAAATACCTCTCGTGTAATTGTGTTAATTTTTGTGCAAAGCGAAATTGTAAAAATGCCAAAGCCACTAGTTACGAATGATCTTATTCGTTTCGATCAATTGACGCCAAGTTCGGCCGCACCATCGCACCGTAAAGACATGACATAATCGAGCATCGTTTCAGCTATATTTTTCTTTGCACGTGGCATGATTTGAAAGACCGGTCCCCACCTTGTCTGATTGTGAGATTGTTCCCTCGGGCGGTCGACCTTGAGACCAGCTGACAAACCGAGGAAGACGAAGGAGGAAGAGGAGGAGGAGGAGGAGAAGAGAGAGGATTGCGCAACGCTTCGAAATATCGTGATTTCGAGACTGGCCATCGAGATCCTCATACAGTCTCTTTGTCTTCAGCAAAGAGAAGTAAATATTGTTGAGTCTATAACGTATCACAGGTCAAACTAATAAATGTAGATTTCTGTTCTTTTTGTATTTTAGAATTTGTTTATCGCTATTAATTTAAATTCAAAATATCATTAAGAGATAAGGAGAGGAGAAGGAGGAGGAGGAGAGGCAGAATATTTCGTCAACAAAGTTGATATATTCGAAATTTCGGAATAACTTTGGGAGGCTTATCTTTAGAAAGATAATACTGTGCACAATGTATTCCGGAATCGTTAAAATTCTCATAAATTCAAGTCATTTCTCTTTAACAAAAGTTCTAAAAATATCATTATTTATTAGAACATTTTTTAATTAACGAAATTAAATTTATAAATTATTACTGCTATTAATATATATTTTACATTTGTATCTTGTAGTGAATTAAATTATATTAAAAACCATTTTAAATGACTTTACCGTGATTATTGAATGTGTCGATTTGCCATCTCAGGAATTTATTTCGTTAAAATTTGCTGAGCAGTATTCTCTTTAGCATTCCCCTGCGTTTCTCATCTTCCGAGTCATCGATATTCTTGTCGTGACTCTTTTTCAAATCGTCCACGTGCAACGATCAACATCTTATCAACGATTATCATATGAAAAATCTATATCTTTGCCACACGTGTGTGGTGTAGAGGGAAGATTTCTCTCCAAAGAATAGTCTGCGATATTTTACGACTCGACAGACACACATAATTCTTCTTGACCATCAAAAAAAAGATATTTGTGACTGGGTCACGAGACTGATCGTAAATTTTCATTTCGTGAGAAAGTAGTAGAGCTTTGTCGATTTGTGAAGTTGCAATCGTTCTTGCTTTCCAATAAATACAACTTTTTTCGGCCAATTCGCAAATATTTGTGTCACATTGATGCGGATAGTTTTAGTAATGGATTTAGATATAATAGTTGCTTGGCAAAACGGGGACTGAGAGATCAGTAAATGTTGTAGCCAATATTCTAGAGATAAAAGGTATTTAGTAAAGAAATAATGGAATCAGTACACACATTTAATCTCGCAAAGCTTTCGGAAGAACCGAAGGCAATTCTGCTCTTGTCTAGAGCATTTAATACACTGGATAGATTATAATAGGTATACGGTAATAATCGAAATGGCGGTACACGAGAGCCATTCGCGAGCGACTCGCGAAATAGCGGAGAAACTGTATATAACCGCGGTGTAAAGAAACTGATGTAATTTTACTCGTTGCAAAAGTAAGATGAGAGACAAAGAGCTAGGCCATTGTAGTTTGAAAGCGACGGTAGAGAAAAGACGTAGCGGGTAGTGGGTAGCAAGAGGAGAAAACGGGAAGGCGGGGAGAAACCAGATGGGAGGGGGAGTGCCGAGAGAGGGTGGAAAGAGCGCCATGTTCGCCCTCTGACGCTCTTTTGAAGGTCAAGGTTTTCCGCCCCTCGTTGACTGAGAGTGAAGGGAGAGGAAGAGGGGAAATAACGAGAGAAAGAGGAAAGGGGGAGAAAGAAAGAAACACACACACACACACACACACACACACAGAGATAACTACAATAAATGTGGTGAAGGATGGCTCATTCGTAAGAGGGATGAAGAGAGAGAGACATTGTAGGAAATATATATATACGTGGGTGGTTGGTCGAGGGTAAACTGTAGGACAGAGAGGGAAGTATAAGGGGTAGCGAGAGCCTGGTGCCCAGTATTTATAGCGCTTGCGAACCGATCGATAACGGATAGCGACATTGCGCAGTTGGGAAACCCCCGCGTCGAAGCCAACCCACGCATATCGCCCTCTTGCCGTTCTCTTGCTGTTTCTGCCAACCCCTTTCGCTTTGAGTCGATCTTTTTCCCCTCTCGCCCATCCCTTCTCCTCTTCTTTGTCTCTTTATTAGTAGCTTAAATTTAATTTTTACTTCGACGCAGAGAGTAAACGTTTAATTTTCTATTGTGTCGTCCATCCTCTATATAATTTTCCTTTCTCTCAGAGATATCTTTATTGCTAGATTTATTTTTATCTTTGTTAGTACTAACTATATACTTCTGTGTTCCAGCATTCATTTTTTCTAATGTGTACTGCTTTTGAGATCTGCAGGTATATATATATAAAGGTATAATAAATTTTACTTTTCTCAATTGCAGATTTGTTGAATTTCGATCAGTTAAATTGATTAATTCTGAGTTAATTTCTTTTAATATTAAACATCAAGATATTATAAAAGAGAAATAAGAGATGATAAAATCTCTAATGGTATTTGCTATTTTTTTCTATTTGGATTCTATTTCTGTTCAATATTCTTAAATATATCTTCTGGCGCGCGCGCGCGCACATTTCACGATCATTTATATATAAGTAGTTATATACGGGGTGAGGCACCTAATTTAACCATCTGAAAAATTTGTAAATTATACGTTGTATTAGAAATTGTTATTTACAAAAGTTGCATAATTTCGAGGGGATCATCACATAGAGTGAAAATTTTTTTAGAAGCGGAGGCACTTCAGAGATTTCAAGGTCAATTTCGTTTTTTTTCTTTTAATGGAATTATATGACTTTTACGTAATATGATTTTTCTAGTTATTCTACATATAAAAGTATTAATGTAGAGTTCGAAAAATCAATAGTTCGAGATATTTTATAGTATAAAATATACTAATATTGTACTATGTAATTTACAAGTTTTTCGAGGAGTCATGTTAAGTGCCTCACCCTGTATTTTCTCGAGAAGCAAAACTATTTTTTTGTCAAGTCAAAATGTCCCGGTAAATAAAGTTTTGCTCGATATATTGCTATATTTTCAGATATATATATAATGTTGAAAATATTTTTGCCAAGCATCTAATAACTACTTAAAATATATATATCTATATATATCAGCATACTTCGATCGTAACAGCAAGTTTTATCACATATCTTTGAAGAATTTTTCGTGATTGTTGTATTGGATATCATCAATATTAAATATACTTTTGTAGAAATCTTAATAGCAAAGTGGAGACAGTTGTTAGAATTCATCAAGATATGTCTTGATGAATGTGTTTTTTGATGCGATATTTTGCATCGAACTGGACACGTTTATCGTCTTCAAAATATTATGCAAAAACTCTAATGACTTTCTTCATATGTTTCTCTCTCTCTCTCTCTCTCTCTCTCTCTCTCCTTCATCTATCTTTCTTGAATAATTTACCGGCAAACTCGTTGTGGACATGTTACTTTACTCGTAGTCCTAAGTATAGCAACCTTACGTGTATTTTCGATGCAATTCATGGGGCGCGTTATCGGAAAATGACCGAATGGCGTGGTGAGGGATGTTAAATTAAAACCGCGATCGATTATCTAGAATAAAAACTGTTAATAAAGATTCAGAATGACTCATCGCATACGCGTAATAATTTCGCCATCACATTTTATTCATAAAAATATTTATAATTAGTACATATGGATAAAAAACTTGATCGTATTAAGAATTAAGGAAACGATATTTAAAAATATATTTAATGTTGTATTCGTATTAATGAATGAAACTTTGACATTTTTACGCGTGAATTACATCCCGTACAAGTTGTAAAGCCTATATACTATAATACGAAAAGATGGGACTTATGAAAAGAAAAATATAGAATAGCGAATTCGAGCGAGAATCAATCACGGACAAGGGCAAGAAGATATTTTGGGGAAGGCGAAATAGGGCAGGAAGGATAATACGGAAAAAGAGGACTCGGAGTAGGCGGAGTAGTGCGTTGAGGATATATATAGTGTGGGGGGTAAGTGCATTGCCATCCCTTTCGTCCTGTGCCGGAGCACATCGGCGATGGCTGCTGGCCGAGCCGAGCCCTCTCTTCATTCCCTTCGAAGAGAGAAGGGTGGGAGAGGGATCGTTTTGGTGCGATGCGAATAGTGAATAGTTTGGGAAAATGAGCCGGGTGCATTTCATTGGGATAACTTCGCAAGAGTGCAAAAGTCACCACGTAATATCATTTCTATGTTCTTTTCAAGGATCGAAATTGGTATAATAAGTCAAGATTTCAATGCAAAAACCATGAAATTGTGATGTTTGTAGCATATTAAATCCATTTTCGATTATTCGATTACTTATGGCAAGAAAAATTGAGTTTACCAAGATTAGTAGAGTAATACGCTCTCGCGTTACGTAATTCAATGGTACGAATCCACAAGTGGGTGATTCTTGTATATTTAATTATATTTAGTGTTTTTAGAGTATAGACACATCTTAAATTTGGCTCTCCATTGTTAGTCTAAGTAATTAGTCTTTATACATATTTTTTAAACTCGATTTTTTTATCTCTATCTGAAAACAAAGATTGATCAAAGATAAAGAAGTGAAACTCACCTGATTGATAATTTTCCAATAATTTTATGTAGAAGAAAGATTTTGTGTTATCTTTGAATATTTGTCGTGTCGCATCTATATAATATTATGTAAGTTAGAATCTTGCAAAAATGTTTTATTTGGATTTCCTCCGTAAAAAAATTTTTTTCCGTTTGCCATAGATAAATCGTGTAATTAAGACAGAAATATAGACGATTATTTATAGTAAATTAATACGAGAAACTAACGCAGACTGTTTGTGCAACTTATATCGTCTTGATTTCCTTTTCTCTTTCTTTTTGTTGGCGAGAGAGTAACATTAATACAAATTTAGCCGAGAGGTATAAAGAACGAGTGGCAGAGGTGCACTGTGAGAGGGTGGGTCTACCCTTTTCCCCTCTCTCTCTCAATGAGGGGTGGCACGAGCTGATCGGGGAGGGTGGCCGCCCTTTTCCGCGAGGAGAGAGAGAGAGAGAGAGAGAAAGAGAGGAGGTAGCTCGTTGGAAAATTTACGCCGGCAGCGGATGGACCGTAAAGGTCGCCGTTGCTGGTTGTCTCCTCTCTTCGGCGCCGTCGCCGCCGGTTTTGCCCTCCTTCGTAAAGGTTGCCAGCTGAGAGCAACGTCAGCAATGAGAGAGTAAATCGTATAGTGTTGTTGCAGTTTGCTACGGGATTAGTTATGTGCTCTTCTGTCATCGTGAAAATCGTGGACTCTTCGAAAGGGAGAGAAAGCTTTTCAATGGCGCAGTATTTATAGGAGTGAAATTTATAGAAATAACGAGTGCGAGAGAGAACAGAAAGTGAGAAGGGGACGGAAAAGCGGGAAGAGAGAGGGGAAAATGCGAGACAAAGAGGGTGAAATCAGCTGGGGAAAATAATGAGTGGAATGCGTGGATGGAAGAAAGGAGGTGTGCAGGCAAACGTCATATACAATACTCTTACTGATTTTTTCCATTTTTTTTTTTGATTCGAGACTTCGAGCTTCTAGATCGGCGGACGAGAAGATCAATCGCCGCTGAGTTATTCGCGTACTTGCTGAAATAATAATTCCTCACGCCCGAAGAGGAGGGAGGCGACAATTCCTGGCATTATGCAATTCGTTGTACTCTTAGATCATTCAATTCTATAAAAATTGAAATCTCTCTCTCTCTCTCTCTCTCTCTCTCTCTCTGCACAACTCGACATTATTCTCTTGACTTTAAGCTGGATTTGTCTAGAAAATATCGTATATTCCTAAAATATTTGACAATTAAAATTCTTATGAACATTACTGTTTACATTACATTATTGTATCTCGGAATTGAGATGGGCTCGATTTCTGATTTCGATGTGCATTGCGTGACAAATTAGATTGCGTCATATTACGAAAAATGAACAAAGTTATGTAAGAAGTAACTTCGTTGTAATGCAAGCTCTAATGGATATATTTCTCCTCTCCATTACTCATTGACGCTAATCTATGGTGCCGACAATTCTTGCGACTTACTACTTGCGAGCACTCTCTCTTGCGAGATCAGTCGTATACCGCGTGAGAATGCTATCGCGTCGATGTATTCGATTATCGCAGTGCAGGCGCGGGAAGTCACACATCGACGAAATCAATATCGAATGTGAGACCTTGTATTTCAAGGACATGTACGGCGAGATAAGCCTGTGCGGAAGCGCGACGCGTGCAATTCGCGACCATCCAATTGTTCGTCTTTCGTAAAAGGATCGATTGTTATCACTTATAAGGGAATATGCATTTTCTCTAGATCGCAGAATTCGTTGTCTCGTTGCGTGTTCTACTGAAAGATCCTGCGACATGTACTTTTCCTAGGTTTCAGACTTTATTTTTTTATTAAATTTTATTACATGTAGATATTTATTATTTATATTGCATGCAGTGTTATATGATATAAGATATATAGGCAACGTTAATTGTATATTATGTAATTATGCTACAAATTGAATTTTAAAAAATTCGTTTTATTGATAACAAGACAATACGGGAGAAAATATAATGCATTTTTTTATGCATGTACGAGAAGTTTCGATATGACTCGTATATGCAAACGAACAATGATGCGCACATGCAAACGCACGATACAGTGCTTTTATCCTTTTTCCCGACAATTTTCTTATCTAATGCGACACACCAAGAATTTCTTACGAAACACAGTTATATTTCTATTGCGAATTTCTATTATATACCGATGCAGTTTCTCGCATTTCATTTCCTTGCTGGAAATTATTACAGTTTCTTCGATAAATATTTCCTTTTTTCTTCGTTTGGTCATCAATGTTTTTCTTCGTTTTGTACACTGAGAAAAAAAATTGATTGTATGAACTAAATTTGTATAGTTGTTTGATCCAGTAGTTGATTTAACATTTTTTTAGTTGCACAAAGAAAGATATAATTCATTCATGTCAACCATCAAAATTTTTTAATCAAGAATTAACAAAACCGATTTAATTAAATTATTTTGTTCGAAATACTAATAGTATTTATTTGTGTTTGCATGCAATTTAGTTATCCAAATAATATATTTGTTCAAATTCCAAGATTCAAACCGATTAAACGATGCTGATGGGGATAATAAATAGTGTGTATTTTTAATCGAACGATTGAGTTAAATATGATAAATTTTTGTTGAAACAAAATAGTTTTGTTAAAAAATAGTATTTTGTTTATAATAGTAAAAAATTATTTTGTGTCATCATAGTAATAGTTGAACGTATCGAACTAAATATTTCGGTAAGATGAAATAAATTTTGCGTTTTTTAATAAATTTTTTTTCTCAGTGTATAAGCATATATAGAGTAATTTGAAATTGAATAAAATAAAGAGAAAATCGTACGGTAGAAACAAAATTGTTAATGTTTTCTAAGTCACCTGCATTTTTTTGTTACCACTAAGAACTTTGGAGACATTTCTGAAGACACATTGCAAACGCAAAATTTATCGCGCGGCGTTGTTATGCCACAAACAGAACTAAGGGCAAAAATGATATTTGACTTCCCCATCATTGCACATTGTACACTTCTCTCTTATTTAAAAAAATAGGTATATTAAATTGATGCTTGAATTATTGAAAGTCTCAAAGTTTAGTTTATTGTTGACTCTTTAATTTTCGCGACACTATTTGGTTCTCTAACTGCGTTAACTTTATGTGTGAACGGCTGTCACCATGAACAATATTTTGATTCTTGTACGTATCGAGGGGATAATAGTATAATATAATGTAATTATATTAATTTAAAATTGCATAATGTTAATTGTATAATTGTTATATATAATGAAAAGTAAAGAGTAGGAAAGCTAAATAGCGCGCAAAACGCTCATCTGTGATGTCTAGTGTACTTAAACTTTAAATGATAGCTTATATTAACTTCCAATCTAATCTAAACTAAAATTAATTGCACATATCACCTTTCATACTTCGCATAGCTATGTACAAACCTAATACGACTCTTAACCGTATCACTATACAGCAAAAACAGAAACCATAATTGAAGTGAGAATCAAATTAGAATCAAAATGAATAGACAAATCTATCAAAATAAATAAAATTCTGTAAGGATGAAATTCTATAAAATATTTCTTCAGAATCCCCTTCTTACCATCCTCCTATTCTTTCTTCTCTAATTTCTCCTATTTCTCTTTATCATTTGTTTTCTCGCTCTCTCTATTGTTTTCATTAAATTCACACTCTTTCCTTCTTCTCCCATGAATTCTTCAATTCTCAGTTTGCCTTTAATCGCTTCACATTTCTTTATAACATAGATTATACTCTCTTCCGCTGTTAGATACATTTTCCATCTTTCTCCCTCCAGTACTGGTCTTTTGTCTAGATTCTTTGTCTTGCTATTAAAGCTGTTTTTCATTTTCATTCTTTCAACCAAATATTTTAGTAATTCTTCCGTCATATGTAGTTATTGTTATATTTTGAAACATATATTTTTCGCTGTCTTTTCCATTTATCCTTTTTCTTTATTTTCTCCACGATGTCTCTTGCTACATATTTTTTGAGCTCCTGCTTCCATTTCATCTTTTAACTGTTTCTTTCTCATTTTTGCCTTCTCCATTAATTCCCTTCTCTCCCAATTGCCTTTCCCTCTCACCGGTCTCTCTTTTTCCAAATCTTTAATATATTTCCGTACCATTTTCTTTTTTGACTTCCGTGCTTTTCCTTCGTACATTATTGCTCTTCTGATCGCTCTTATTATTTTTATTTCTTTCATCTTTATGAAACAGTGCAAGTTTATATTAAATGATTCATTAAAAATTTCGTTAAAATTCGTTAAAAATGCTATCAAGTACAATCGCCGTTTTATGAACTTTTTTTGAATTTATTTACACGCGTAGTTGTGTTATTCAATACGCGCATTTTGAATAAACTTATAAATGGCTGAATTTTCTTCCAATTTCGCTCTTTTATTCGCAATTTCTTTTAGTTAATACCCAATCTTGGTCGGCACGTAGCAAGAATTCTTCAATATCGAATCCGGAATTAACTCGCCATTATCGCTCAAACGAGCGACGGTGTGGCAATAGGTAACTCGTGAGTAACTAGTGCAACTATTTCGTCTCAATTAATTGTTGAAAGCTTAGCCGATGCGAGTTGCGATAACGCGTGAAATAGGAAAAACACAAGCGAAGAAAGAAAAGAGAAAAACATTTAATAATTATTGTAGATATGTGAACTGGTGTTAATATAGGTGCGTTGTGCGTATAAATGTATTACCGCTTTTTATTATCGCGATTTAATTGATAAAGCGTATTTCACCGGTTGATTGGTGATGTCAATATGCACCGTCGCTACGTCTTTGACGTTTCAAAAATGAGATTTCGATGATTTGTGAACGGAACTATATGAATTTTCATAGTGTCGCATAATCAATCGTTCAATAATATGTGACAATGTGTGTTATACAATTTTTAATAATATACTCTTACTTTGTGATTGGATTTCAGTGAGCAGACTCCATTGCGAGTCGGAGTCATTCAAAATGGATCTCATCCTAGACATCAACAGTTGGTTATACCCAATGGACCTAGGTAAGTCGTTTATTATTGATAAATTAATTGCTTTTGCTTGCTGGGACGATCGAAAATTGCAATATATTTGGTAACACTTGTAATATATTTAATAACACTTATGCAATATTGTTTTAATTATGACAATGCGTTGAATGTTATTTGTGTTGAATATATAATGTATATTGAATATGAATGAAATTATTTGACATATTAAGTGTAGTGAAGTGAAAGAAAGACTATTGAATTTTTTTGAGTGAGATTTATTCACAATTTTATTAAAAAAAAATGAGCGCGGGTACAAAAAAACTGTTAATTGCAATTATAATTCTTAGATAGACAAAATAATGGAAGAATTGTGGAAGATGAAAAATATTAAGTGTGGCTATATATTTTTATACAGTTTACACCCCTCCTTATTTTTTACATTATCTTAGAAGTTTGGCAACTTGTAACAATATTTTATTTGTTTAGTGTAACATTTGGATGATTACAATTTATTTTATAACTATCTAATGCAATACTATCTATGTAGCACACATACATAATATTCTATCACTTTTTGCTACAAAGTACGTTATTATTTCGAAATCTTAAATTGAATTTTTATTCGGAAATCTAATCATTAGGAAAATAGAAAATTGTATATTGTACACTGCTCATTCCTTTGCTTCGTGCGAAAATGCAATCGTAATATCCGAGCGAGCCACCAACGTATTTCGGAGCCACCAGTTTTTCATGTTTTAATGAAAACTAGTCCCTTGTTCTCCATTTTTAACGTTATACTGAGAAACATGTTTATAAAAGCAAAAGCTTGTCTGACTTGTCTCACAATGCGATATATATTTAAAAGATTTCATACGGCATGTTCGAAACGATACTAGAATGTGCTAATTTAAATAGTGAACGACAAAAATCATTTGTACCCTTCTATTGCAATCATTGTTAACAAGATATATATATATTTTTTTTACGTACAGCTAAAGCAATATCAAATACATACACATCTTAAAATGGAAAAGATTGCTAAGTACGTAAAATTCTTTTCGAAAGGAAACTTGGTGGCGGCATCTAATAATGAAGTTGAATGGATTGAAATATGAATAATATGAACTTTATAACTCAATTTCTTTGCCATTTAAATTAATCTACATAAAATTAATATGTTATTTTGTCATACTTATATATATAAATATAATGAAAATAATATTTAATTAATCGTAAGTCTTGCAAGATTTTAGTTTCGATTTAAAACAATTTTGGTACCGGCTATAATTAATTTTTTTCCGTCAGTATGCATATGTATTACGATTATTTTTAGAATTCTATAAAGTTGTTTTCGATGTTTTTATTGATATTAAAAGATGCATAAAAGATCTTTGTCGTGTATTTTGAATTGCGTCGTGCAAAATTACAGTTTGGCGTTTATGCGCGGATGTAATCTTTCGAAATGCACTTGGCAACCGTGAGCGATCGTGATATTCGGCTTTTCACGTGACTTCCAAACTTCACCAGTGGCACTTCCGGTCTCTTTCTTAAACATCGAAATTCTCCCAGAGATTTAATCTCTTCTACAGAGATTTAAATCATTTTGCAACCTTTTTCGCGAATAAATTTGCAGTCCATGTTTTCGTAGTCAAACTGTCGAGGTGCCAATAGTTTTCGAAAATTAGGGATAGTCAAAAAAATGAAATTTACTGAACTTTTTAATAGCAGAATATATTTGAAAATGGTATATACTATATATGCTATATAATTTAATAATATATTTGATTGTTAATATAAAATTTTAAGGGCTTTGTATTGTATTTTTCGAAAGTACAATATTTTCGTATATTTTGAAAAACACAAAATACTAAAAACTTTTATAATACAGAAAGTTTATATTTTTCAAAAATATATTGCATTTGTAATAATATACGAAAAATCTTTCCCTTTTATTTCAAGTCTATGAGTATTTCGTTTACGTTTTTCAGATTCTTGGCAAAAGACGCGTAAGATTTGTTTCACTATTTGTCACTTTTTGCACTTCCGTCGCTAATGCGAATCCCTTGCATTTTGTCTTTTAAGTTGTCTCCGGCTAAATTGTAATGTGTCATACGATGTAGTAAAAGTCGGCGAAATTTTATTCGTATAAAAGAACAAATGCATTTAACCAAAGTCAAGCTGAGATTATAGCTGAGTAAGCATATCTCTTTTTATGAAGGATATGATTGATTTTGATCTCATTTCATTTACAATGCCATTTTCTCTGAGAAGACCAAAGAAGTGCAAATAAAAATTTTTAGGAATGCATCCGCGCCCGTGCCATTACATCATAATTATTTTATATATTCCGACAAAGCAAATTGTTTCTTTAATAATCTTATCTATTTAAATTATAAAATTTATTTTATTTGCATTGCATTTATATATAGACATTTTTAAGTATTTCTCGTTATACTTTTTATATATAAGGTGACATAGAAAAATTATATATCAATCAAGTATTTTCCAAAGATTCTTCTTATTTCTAGCATTTGATAAATATTTATTCTATCTACAAAAAGTAACTTGATTTTTATTTGGAAACCAACATTTTTTGAAGTATCGTTTTTACAACATGATGTTTACCCACTGATAACACATAGTTCAACAAAAAAAACACTGTAACGAGATTAATCAGTAGTTTTTCCGTAATTATTTTTTGCAAAGCAAATTTATTTGCAAATTTTTCAAAATGGTTGACATGATAGCAATTCCACAACTAAAGATTCGCATTTAACGTCTAAAAATTGCAAAAAATAATTAGTCCCGTTATGGTGCTCGGATAAAAGTCATTTTTTGAACAGTGTAATCAGTACTTTACTTGCACGTGACAAAGTAATAGAGTTATTGTACTACATGGGCTAAAAAATTTCCGGAATTGGATACAAAATGTCACCTACAAAAATGTCATATACAAAAATTAATCTTATGGCTGTCGAACATATTCCTTCAAACCTCCGCTGTCAAAATTTCATGACATTTCACCGAATAGTTTGTGAGTTACAGTCATTTGAACAAGTCAACGTTTGAGTTTTTTAAAATATGAAAAAAACCGAAATTCGTGCAGTGATCAAATATCAATATTTGAAAGACTTAAAACCTCAAGAAATCATCGATGACTTCAATGATTTCTTGAAATTTTAAGCCTTTCAAATATTAATATTTGATCACTGCACGAATTTCGGTTTTTTTCCATATTTTAAAAAACTCAAACGTTGACTTGTTCAAATGACTGTAACTCACAAACTATTCGGTGAAATGTCATGAAATTTTAACAGCGGAGATTTGAAGGAATATATTCGACAGCCATAAGATTAATTTTTATATATGATGCCATTTTGTATTCAATTCCAGAAACTTTCCAGCCCATGTAGTATTCTTTTTCAATCCCTCTCTGTGCGCCAATCGCTACGTTCATGGAAATGGTTTACCCCCCAACACTTTTTTTCCAAACCCGCCATCTTTTCGCGATCGCTCGTCCGGGTTATATCGGAGATACGATGACGTGCGATTTATCGTTGAGCCTTGGCCATCTTGCTTCGGCCGAGCACGTTGCGTCTCACCGGAGAAGCAGCGCGATCGCGGCGATTAATGTGCTTCCTCGTCTCTGAACTTCACCAATGGAAACTCTCGCTGACCGAGTCCGACTTCCAAGAGGCTCGTCTTGGCTCCGCCTCTGGATTACCGATGCGGCTGCGGCGATTGGTGAAGTTTGTTCAAACTAAGGGTAGTGATGCCTTATTTCGATATAAACCTACTGTCTGCCGGAGTCGGATCGCAGTTGCAGAGGTGTTCCGTCCTTCGAGTCTGGCCTGTCAATGAAATTACCTGAACTCTAAAGTGAAATTGAGATCGACTTTATGAATCGAGTGTTTATCTTTCAATTTTTTAGCACATGTGCATTTAACATACGTGATACGTGAGATACGTCGCAAATTACTTTACATATCACATTGCAGATATTTTTAACAAGTTGGAAATATATTGAAAATTGATTCCGGTATGCATACACATTTATTGAATAATATAATAACAAAATGTAGAAATCTGCGTTGCACACGTAATCCTATTTTTTTATACATTCGATCGGATTCGGATACTTTTTCATAAAGCCTAGATTAAGCAAATTAAGGGGAGAGCCTGGTTTAGCACGCTGAAAAATTAGGTGACTTAGAATTTTTTTTTTTTTTAGGAAACTATTCAATCAATCCTTTTGAACTTTATAGGGTATTTTTTTATACTATTGAACTAATAAAAAACATTTTTTAGCCAGAAAAAAAGTATTTATTATGCAAGTAATAACATTAACTCGGCGGTGTTTGGCGGCGCGTGCAAGATAACTCAAAAACTATTCATCCGATTGATTTAGGACTTTGCACATATCTGCACAAATACTTCCCCAACAGCTTGAACCACAGTTTATATTATTTAATTAAATAATGTTTATTGCACAAACTGAACCTATTTTTAAAGAAAATAATGCGAAATTGTGAAAATCGCGCACTAGGAAAAAGAAGGTAGCGATTTTGACAAGTAATTTGTATTATGCAATATAAATTATTTGTCAAAATCGTTACCTTCTTTTTCCAAGTGCGCGATTTTCACATTTTCGCATTATTTTCTTTAAAAATAGATTCAGTCAATGCGTAAACTCTTAATAAACAATAATATTTTTGGATTTTTTATTTCAAACAAATACAAGTGACGCCACATTGCACGCCGCCCGCCGACGCGTCGAATAAAGAATTATTACTTGCACAATACTTTTTTTTGGGGCAAAAAAAAATATTTTTCTGTTAAGTTCAATAGTATAAAAAATTACCCTATAAAGTTCAAAAGGATTGGTTGTAGTTTCCTAAAAAAAAAACTTCCAAAAATCACCTGATTTAGCGTGCTAAATCAACCTCTCCCCCACCCCTCTTTGAGAAGCAAATAGAATACAAAAGAATAATTTGTTACATTGTTATGTCAGACGTTACGTGACAATAAAATCT